ATACAATATAATTCAAAGGTATAAGTCTAGAAAAGGTTTCCATTATGTGTGTAATTTATTAAAGCAAGGAAGACACGTGCCAGGTTTTCCGGGACAATCTTCACAAACACTCCTTACTTTGATGACTTTTTTATTGGCTTCACGGTTTGATAGTGCTGTCCGAAGATTTTGGTAGCATCCTTTACAAATCTTTCTTTTTTTTCTTCCTGGGCCAGTTGGCTTTCGGAAAGTATATATCCTTTTACGCGTTGTTGGTTCAGAAACAACTGTAGCAGGATCTCTTAACTGTTCTGCTAAAGTTTATCCACATTTTCTTCTTTGAAATGCGGTTGAAAGTAATCCAGGCATTTACGACACATGTTCCAAATAGAAATTCATTCATAACTTTCCTGTACCATTTCAGGCCTCGACGTAGAACAAAGTGATATGAAGACATCTGGTCACTATAATCAACTCCTTTCATAGCTTTGTTATAATCTGTAACACACTTGGGCTTTAGAATGTCTTCACCCTTTCTTGATTTTTTTCCAGTTTCTTGGACAGTGCTGCTATGAGTAGGATCTGTAGTCAGCATTAAAACTGGTCGTTTATCAACCCATTTTATAATTTTAACGCATCCATTTTGTTGACCATACGTCTTTCGCTTTTTCAATTTTTTTTGGAAAGATTTTGGGATTCTTCTCCTATTTGCGCGTAGTGTTCCGCAGTAGACAATTTTTTCATCAAATAGTTTTTTAGCTAAAGGCAAGCTGCTATAAAAATTATCTGCAAAAGGATAATGTCCTTCTTTAGCTTTTATGGATTTTTGCAGTTCTAAAACCATCGTTTCTGAATGCTGTTGGCCTTCAACCTTTTCATTTTTTCCTCTATATACAGGGTGTCCGCAAAGTTGGGGTTTTCCTTTTCAGAAACAACTACCCTTGAAATAACAAAGGTAGTGTGTAGTGAAACGAGGGCGACCAAGTAAAAAAATAAAGGAAAAAGTACTCACTCTCCAGTTGACGAGAAGGGCTAAGTACGTCTCTGCCCGAAATCATACCGCTCCAACAGAAAATGAAATCAGCTGATGCACTACCGCGCAGACGCCGGCGGTGGTGCAGACCACGAACAGAGGTAACAAATATGACAAATTTGGGAGAATAAATGGTCCAATGAGCATACCGTTCACCATGCCAGCCCAAACATTCACCGAAAATGTTTGTTGAAAATGTGCCCGACGGACAGCGTGCGGATTTTCTACTGACCCCATTACGCGTGAACGTAGATTCGTCTGTCACCAATATGCACTTCAAAAAGTCCGGATTATTGTCATGTTGATGCAACAACCACTCACAAAACCGCACTCTTGCTGGAAAATCGTCAGGTCGAAGGGCTTGTACACGTTGGACGTGAAACGGATTCAGCCCCTCTTCACGCAGCGTTTGCCACACTTTAGTTTTTGATACGTGCACTTCTCTAGTCACGTCTCTAGTGCTTGTTGTTTTTTGAAACGCAATCGACTAAACGGGTTCGTTTACCTCTAAACGCGTGACCGTAAACGTCGGTTGAAGGTTGCATACTGACCTGACCCGCTGACCCCGACCCACTTGTACCAGTCGGTGATATCGCGGGTCGCGGCTACAGGACGGTATTCAGATATTTTTGATGTTGCAGAGCCCTTTATCTCGGTTTCCTTAAGACATTGGTGTATATGGTACTAAGAAAAATTGCCTATGTTTTCAAGATCTACACGTCGTGTAAAGGAAAACCCCAACTTTGCGGACACCCTGTATAATAACTTAGATTGTGTATCCATCAACAGCACATAATTTATATAGTTTGACACCATACTTGTGCGTTTTATTGGGAATATACTGGCGAAATTTTAATCGACCTCTGAAAAGAACCATCGACTCGTCGTAATTCTGCCAGGAGTTAGAACATTTTGAAAGTTCCTATTTAGTACTCCCAATACTGTTCTGATTTTGTACAACCGGTAGTTAGTAACAAAAATGGGTCTTCGTTGTTGCAAAAATGTAAACAATCGAAGTAAAAGGAGAAATATATCACGTGATATTGTCTTTGCTATTAACTCATTTCTGAACATAGGATCTTTTGACCAGTACGAATTAACTGACGGAAGCGAGTTAAAACACGTTACTAGAATAACTGAGAAAAAACGCATGAGCTCGTTTATATCTGTTTCCACCTGGACCTGGACTTCGAATTCCTACGTCCTGCTAAGCTTTGTTGGGCGAATCTGTTCGTCTCTTCAACAATGATGTGCCAAAGTTCATCTGTCACAAAAAGTTTGTAGACATCCAGTGGACTTAGAATCTGACTCACGTCAAAATTAAGTTCAGGCGACTCATTACAGATGTTGAAAGATAACTGCCCTTGAACAATGTCTTGCCAATTACACTGATCAACAGCCAAAAATATCCTAAATAAAATCAACAAAATATGACTATTTTTAATGTGCTAAAACCGCAATATTAGTTCAAGTTTTAGAGATACGGTAATTCTATGTGTTCCTGCTGTGACAGTGTTAATATACTGCAATTCACAAGAATGCACGTGCTACATTTTTATATTTGTCAAGGAAAGATGATGTAATCGGCATGATTGTGTTACGTTATACATACGTGTACATTATATTGTTTTATATTAGCCATTTTTCCTCAGTTGGCTGACAGCGTTCATGCAAGATGTCTAGAAAGTGTGTAAACAATCCAGATCAGTCTTGTTACGTGTGTGGTGATGTGACTTTTGCGTCTCAGAGACGGTCTATTACTCCACTAATAACAAAGGCATATCAGCTTTATTTCGGTTGTAAACTAAGTGATCCAGACAAACAGTGGGCACCCCATAATACATGTGCTTCAAGTCTGAGGAGCTGGTTAAATGGCAAAAAACGGTCTATGCGCTTTGCTGTCCCTATGGTTTAGAGAGAGCCTACAAATCATATTAATGATTGTTACTTTTGCATGGTACCTTGTGTTGGTCAAGCCACAGGTATGTCCAAGAAAAAAAAAATCGGTTATTAACTACCCAAACATACCATCTGCGATGAGATCTGTGCCTCACAGTGACGAAAATCCTATTCCAAAACCCCCAGAATCCTACACTTGCGAATCAGAAAACGAATCAGATCATGGCGATCGAGTGATTCGTCAGGAAGAAAGTATACCATCAACGTCAAAAGATCCTGATTTTATACCGAGCACGTCATGCCACCAACCGCACAAGATAACACAGTCAGAATTAAATGATCTTGTAAGAGATTTAGAACTTCCAAAATGTAAGGCAGAGTTACTTGGATCGTGACTGCAGCAGTGGAACTTATTAGAAGACGATGTTTCGGTATGTGTTTTTCGTAAACGCCACAAAGACTTAGAACCATTTTTCAATATGGAGAATAACTTGGTTTTCTGCAGTAACATTAACGGCTTACTGGCGGCTTTAAATGTAAACTATAACCCAGAAGAATGGAGATTGTTTATAGACAATTCAACATTGAGTTTAAAGGCAGTGTTATTGCATATTGGAAATATTTTACCATCTCCTCCTGTAGGGTATGCAGTTCACATGAAAGAATCATATGACAATATGAAGTACCTATTGACATGCATAAAATACGGTGAGCACCAATGGCATATTTGTGGCGATTTGAAAGTTGTTGCACTTTTACTTGGGCTGCAGCTAGGCTACACAAAGTTTTGCTGTTTTTTGTGTGAATGGGACAGTCGGGCAAAGGCACTTCATTACACCAGACAAAACTGGCCTGTTCGTCAATTCCTAGAGCCAGGTCAAAAAAATGTACAGCATATGCCATTAGTAGATTCGAAAAAAATTTTATTACCACCACTGCATATCAAGTTGGGCCTAATGAAAAACTTTTTCAAGGCATTAGATAGAGATGGGTCAGCTTTTCAATACCTGCGTCAGAAATTTCCAAGACTAAGTGAGGCAAAGGTTAAAGAAGGTATTTTTGTTGGGCCACAGATTCGAAATATTTTGAAAGATACACAGTTTGAAAACACTTTAACAGGTATTGAAAAAGCTGCTTGGAATGATTTCCGTCTGGTGGTCACTAATTTCTTGGGAAATAGAAAAGCTGACAACTATAAAACCCTTGTCAAAAATATGCTGTCATCGTATCAAAAGATGGGCTGTAATATGTCTCTTAAGATACATTTCCTACACTCACACCTGGACTTTTTTCCTGACAATGGCGGAGCCGTAAGTGATGAGCACGGCGAACGTTTTCATCAGGATATTTCAACAATGGAAAAAAGGTACCAGGGAAAGTGGAGTCCTTCCATGCTTGCAGACTACTGTTGGACTCTTGGCAGAGATGCTCCAGAAACGATCCATAAAAGAACAGCAAAAAGACAGCGCATATAGTGATTCTTATAAGTATATGAATCTTGTTACTTTTTTTAATATATCCTTAAAAATAAAAAGTTTTTTTTCTAAACTGCAACTAATTTTTTTATTTCATGGTCATTTTTGGATTCAGCGCCCCAAAATTAACAAAGAAGTGCACTTTTCCCACAAGATACAATTAAAAAACTAAAATTTGTTGTCCAGTGTTATTTTGATATGTCTGTGCGGTGCAGGTGTCCTATGGTTTTTATACAATTTTCCGTCTCTACAAGTTCTCACAATCTTGTAGCATTTATAACTTGTATATTCAGGGAAATATGCATTTCGCTCCAAAACGGAAATTTGAAAAAAACAGCTCCGCATCAAAATGAAGTTTGCTAACGGTCTCGGGAGACCGATATAGCAGGGAGACCGATATAGCAGTCAACGTGTTAAGTATTGCATTTCTTTTTCTCCGAAATCGATCTCTTTCACACTAATCCAAGACACTACATCCACGCGAGCGGAGCCGCGGGCTTAGTCTTGCCGGGAAAACTTCCTTGTACGTGAATCCTGTTCAAACGTGGCAACGTCGCATGGCGTCGAGCATGCAGCATCAAAGCGTCACGACGCCGACGTCAGTCGTCGATCGACGTCCCGCCGAAGCTTCCAACTTCACACAACTCCGCGTCCATCCGACATCAGCTGGAGTTGTTTCCATGTGCAACAAAGATGAAGTTCACTGAGCATCTCTCAGCTCACATCACGCCAGAGTGGAGGAAACAGTATATCAGTTATGAGGTAAGTTCGTTTCTTGAAGTGGACATTTCTGGAGGAGGAATTTAAATCGATAAGGCCTTTTAACACCTGTTTTACATAGAAACGCTTAAACAGGAATGAAATATACTGTTAGTATAAATTGTTTGTCTTACTTCGTAATACTTTTCATTACTTCTGTTTGTATGTGCGAAGGGTGGCTTTGTTTCTGACCTTAACCCTTATCATTTTGGTGTACGAACTTACTGCGCTATGTTTATCAGGTGGCATTGACCTTATTAAACACGTAGTAGCTTTATTAACAAAACCGCAAAGTAGGTCTTTGCATTTTTAGCACATGTCGTGAGCTGAAGTTCAGTTTAGGTCTTCTGTTCCGTGTTTTTGATAATGCAAGGCCGTGTTTTAATTTTCGTTGAAGACTACTCATAAGCAGTTATAACAAACATGTTTTTTTTGCGACAAAAAAAATCGGTTCTAGTAACGGGAAAGAATGAAGTTTTATTGATACTCCCAGGACGAATCTAGGGAGCTCAAATGTCAAAACTCACCAGTCCCTTTGGACTGTAGGCCGTGAAACAGTAATTTCAGGCCAAAGATTTCCGTTTAAAATCCATCATTTTCGTGTAATAAAATGCCTAGTGTCACATGCACTGTCAAGAAAAATACATCAAGTCATTAAACTGTTAGGTGAAAGGCAGTAAATTTAATTTAGCGCATTTTTTGAATTTTGAAATTTTTTATGTTTACAATTACATTGGTGTCAACATTTAAAAAAAGGCAGCAAATGAACGCTTATGAAAAAATTTTAGCGTAGATCGCGAAGTAGAAATAGCATAGGTAAAACTTTCGATGGGAGTCCGCCATTTGAACTCCACAAAGTATACCCAATGTCAGTTGTACTGTCAAGACACTTCCTCAGTTGCTCTATATGTCAAAATGTATTAAGCAATTCAGGCTGTATATATAGAATATATATAGAGAATATGATCATGCGGAGAAAGGTATATAACAACAAGTAGAAAAATAATGGGCAAAATCCGCAAAAAGGAGGAAAGTGGATTCGAGCAGAAAATAGGATAGGTAACCCGAGCGATACGTATTTCTGCTGGTTGGCTTCATCAGGCCCGAAATGAATGCACATATGAAACTACAAAAAAAACGACACACGAAGTCCACAACAAGAGCCAACCCACACATTGTAGTATACGTATCGCTCGGGTTACCTATCCTATGTTTTTTAAATAATTTTTAATCTGTTTTTAACTTGTCTTGTCATATTTTATATAATTTTGACCATTGTACCATGTATCCAGCTCTCACCATGTTACTGGACGTTTCCCTCATCCTATACGTAAACAACAATTAGCAACATCCTTACATACTATTCTCCTGATGATGATGGCAAAGTCCATTGAAAGCTAGAGAGAATTAAAAAAAGTATAAAGAGTCCTCTTTGCTTAAATTTTGTCGAAGTACCCAACAAAAGGCGGAAGCTTCAATTTTATATATATATATATATATATATATCTCAATCGCCACAGTTTTCGAACCTCCCAGTCACCCTCCTGAAGATTTCTTGTACTCATGGCTTCTCTGACAACATTTTTCCAGCTCCTGGGTGGCCAGCCGCGTTTCCTCTTATCAGCAGTGATCCAATTCCATATCTTTTTTGGCCATCTATCGTTGTCCATACATTGTAAGTGACCATACCATATAAGTCTTTTGAGCTCGATAGTGTCCATAATATTCCCTTCTACTCCGATTTTCCTCTTTATCTCCTCGTTCCTGATATGGTCCAATCTTGAAATCTCCGCGCTACGTCTCCAGTAATCCATTTCAACAGATAACAGTCGATTTTTGTCTTTATCTCTGATTTCCTATAGCTCCATACGTACTAATGCTCTCTGCAATAGTTTTATATATAGATCTCTTCACTTTGTTATTAACTTTATTACTCCAGAGGATCTAATAACTCGTTTGCCTTGCCCTATTTTATTGAATATGTCATCTGAACTCTTCCCATTTGCCGATAGTAGGAAGTGTGTTTGATAGTAAAATTCCCAGCATCGAAGTCATGCTGATTGTCAGTGCCAACTATCATATATTCCGTCTTTTTGGTGTTGATTTTCAAACCCCAATTGCTATATTCACACTTGATCAACAGCAAACAGATGGATACTACCATAGGACTATACTTCTTTTTCCATACATTCAAAACTTCTTCGAAGTATATTTTGAATAACAGGTTGTGCCTCGTCAAATACGAACCCCTTCCCATTTCAGTTGGCCCGACTATTGAGATCTTAGCTTTTTTTCTTATCAAACACAAATAATAAAAATGTAACAGGGTGTTATAGGTTTAAAATATTAACAATGAATATTTTGATAATATATAGTTGAAAACAGCAACTTTATCACTCCGTAATCAAATTTGCAGCATAAAAATAACACATGTTGCAATTACAGCATATCAACCTATTTTCATTTCAATGCAAAATAAGTCTATAACGTATAGGTGGCTGTGAAAAATAAAAGCCATGACAATTGTTTTTATTAATCACAGCGATCAGAATACGTTTAAAATAGTTTTGGGTAGTTAAGGTTTTCAAAATGGGTAGAGGAAAGGTTATTAGTGAGAAAATTCGGTTACTGATAATTAAATTTTTTAATTCTGGGAAATCAAACTCAGAAATTGCAACTTTGTTAGACTTATCGCGGTACAGTGTGAGAAATATTGTTAGAAGATATAACGTAACTGGTTCCGTTAATATTAAGCCACGATATGTGAAAAAAGTAATATCACAAATGCCTACCGAAGAGCATTAAGAGGAAAAATCGTAAGAAACAGGCGTGCTAATTATTTACAATTAAGTGCTCTGTGGAGTGGCGCTGTTGGAAGGAGAATTCCGAGGTGCACAACTCATAGAGAGGCCCATAAACTGGGATTTAGCACTTGCAAGGTGAGTTTTCTTATAAAAAAAAGTGAAGTAAAAGCCCTAAAGTTGCACAACTTGTTTATACGCCAAAGAAAAGCCACTATTAACTCCACTGCAATAGAAAAATCGGCTTAGATGGGCTAAAGAACATAGACAATGGACACCTCAACAATGGTGTGCAATACAATGGAGTGATGAGGCCCGATTCGAAGTCTGTCTTGGTGACAGTCGCAGTAGAGTTATTCGCAAAAAAATTAAGCATTCCATGTTGACTGTCTGAAGAGAAAAGTGAAATTTCCAGCATCCATTATGGTCTGGGGCGGTATGTCATCAAAAGGAGTAGGAAAACTTCATTTTATTGATGGAATTGTGGATACAAACAACTATTTGGCAATTTTAGAAGAATCGCTTTTACCAGTGACGGCAGAATGTTTGACATCCGGCGAAGATTTTGTGTTTCAGCATGATGGTGCAGCGTGCCATACCTCAAAAAAGGCTATAAAATGGATGGAAGAAAATAATGTACTACTTTTGAAATGGGTTTCTAGCAGTCCAGATCTGCCACCTATTGAAACTTTGTGGCACGAGATGAAAAAGGTTCTACGACGACATCCTGCTCGTACAATCACCGAACTGAGACAAAAGCTTCAAGAAATATGGGATTGTTTTTCACCAAATTTTTGCCAAAACTTGGTTAACACTATGCCCCAAACAATTTCATCCGTATTAAAAAATAAAGGTGATGTTACCCAATGGTAATCTTTCAATTATTGTTGCTTTGTTAACTTCGCGCATTTATTCGCACATTGTCTATTTGTTCAGATGTTCTATTAGTTATAGGTCTAAGTGATTTCAAATATGTATTTTTTACGACTAGAGTATATCTAGAATGTTTTTGAGAAAATAAATTGTTTTAGAAGTAAATAGTTTCATCATGTTTAGTTTATAAAGGCATATTTTGGTACAAACCTTGAAGTGGGAAGGGGCTCGTAGTTTGAAAGGTGTAATTTCCGACTAAAATTCGCCATTTTAATTTTCTAAAATTTCAATATAGCCGTGTTACTCTCACTGCTTAGAAACACACTGATACAACAAAACCCGTTTAGAATTTATCCCGTAAAATAGAGTTTTTTATACGAAAGGCATAACCCTCAATCTGAGGCAGTCGAGTGAAAATGGCGGTAACGTACCAGCTTTCATCGAAGCGGTACTACATGAACGAGCTTCGGAATATCTCCTAGACAGTTTAATATAAATCAACTGTACAGTTAAAGTTCTGTCCTTCCCTTTTTTAAACGCGTCAAGTACATCAATGGAGCTTTGTAGAACTCCGACAGATACTTTCTCAGGAGCTTCAAATACGTACTTGGAGTCATTTGGATAGCACTTCTATACTTCAGTTAAACACCATCATCATCCTTGCAAACAACAGTGTTAACATTTGAGATCTTTGAATAGCTATAAAGCTGCACCTTTTTCACATATGTCTACGCCGCTGGTTTATCAACCCATTCAATCTCTGTTTGGCTTCCAATATAATACGTAGTAGACTTTTTATGTAATTGAAACTTTTACAGTTTTCACGTGACCTAAAAATATCTAGTTCACCTAACTTTAAGCGCACTAGTGAGCAATGAAAGAGCTTTAAAATACACTTGAGATATAAGCAATGCACCTGTTCAAATATACCTTTTGGATAAAGTTCATCCATTATTTCACTAGGAGGAGCCCAACATATTTTAGTTGTATGCCCGCTGACGAATTTGAACGTTGATCGGTGGTGTTTGTTCCAACGAGGGGTAAATTATATTTGAATATACTAAGTGACATATAAATCCGAACACCCAGTTAAAATGGTTTTATTTAAATAAAAGTTGGTGAATGTATTTATCTTACTGTAAATAACAAGAGAAAAATTGTTCAGCCTTATCAGTTGGACATTCTGGTTTTTATACTGCTTTTTTTTAATTCACTAACGCTCTAAAGATGAATATTTCAGCCGCAGTAAAGAATCAACGTTGGCGGATTTTGATTCTTGACATCCTTTACGATCGGTTACGATGCCTAGAGTATGGAGACCTGTACGAT